TGGGGGAATGGTCGAAGACAGGTAGAATTTTATTTGCGAGGACGAAAAGAAGAAGAAAAGAGGGGCATTTGCTGTCGTTAACACGGTTGCTGGTGACGTGTATGCCTAGTGCTGATTACGTGGCCACTTCGACAATTATTTTTAATTATTATTATTTTTTGGATTCGGGTTTTTCAGTGGGCCAGAGAACCGAATATGTTCTGGCGACCTGATCCATCCACGTCATCAAGGCCCAAATTATCTCCATTTGGGCATTGGGCACTTTTTTAAGCCCAGCTGTCCAGCTCATTTAGAGGTTCACTCCGGTGATTTAATCTAATTGTAAACCTTTAAACAGCGTAGCTCATCTCTTACATCGCCTAATAATAACCAATTACAATTAGCCACGTAACGGCACCGGATCTCTTCTCATCACTCCCAATTCGCAACCCCCACTACCTACTGGGAGTACCACAGTGCTGGTGGATTTTTAACCGTTGAAAAATCCTGGGAGCTCTGTTTGGCAAACAGCAGAAAACAACGTTTTGTTTTGTCAGTTGCCTGCTCACTTGGCGACATTTCCCAAGCTCCAAACCGGGTTCTTCTCTTCGGTTTATCCGCCGCTCTCCTTCTCGAATTCCTCTTTAAACTCGATAGAAAAAAGGGAAACTCCCATTCACTTGCTCCGTACATTTCCCGCCTCCGGCAACCGTATTCTTTCCCGGTAACAATGTCGCAGTCCCTCCAATTCTTCACTCCCTCCCGTTCTCCTTATTTCACTATCCCGAAACTTCCGGCAACGTCCTATACCCGGTTCCCGGTAATTAACCTCCCGAGCAAAAAACACTCCATCACGATCACGAAATCCTTATCTTCAGATCTTGATGCCACGTCATCGCAAGTACTGGCTTCTGGAAACGGCCAGAGCGGAGTTTCGGGGGTTTTATCGGCGGACAACATGGGGTCGGTTCTTTCTCAGGCGCCGACGGATTCGGGAGCGGCGGGGATCGAAGTGGACGCCGTGACGGAGGCGGAGCTGAAGGAGAATGGATTCCGGAGTACGAGGCGGACGAAGCTCGTCTGCACAATCGGTCCAGCCACGTGCGGGTTCGAGCAGCTGGAAGCGTTGGCTGTGGGAGGCATGAACGTAGCTCGAATCAACATGTGCCACGGCACTCGTGAGTGGCATCAAACAGTGATCGAACGCGTGAGGAGACTCAACGAAGAGAAAGGCTTCGCCGTCGCTATTATGATGGATACTGAAGGTAGCGAGATTCACATGGGAGATCTTGGTGGCGCTGCCTCCGCCAAAGCTGAGGTAAAAAACAAATTAAAAAGGGAGAATCTTTATAAAAATAAAAACTTTTTTTATTTCATTTATTGTGTGATATTTATCCACGAATGTAGGATGGTGAAATCTGGACCTTTAGTGTTAGAGCTTTCGGATCACCCCGGCCAGAGCGTACAATTAATGTAAATTATGACGGTTTTGCTGAAGGTTCGTAATCTTAATTTTTAGTCAAAAAATAAGTAATTATAAGCGAATTGATTTATTAGTGATTTAAATAAAGATTGTTTGGTGTTGGTATATAGATGTCAAAGTCGGGGATGAACTTTTGGTTGATGGTGGAATGGTGAGGTTTGAGGTGATTGAGAAGATTGGTCCTGATGTTAAGTGTAGGTGTACTGATCCCGGTTTGTTGCTTCCGCGAGCTAACTTGACTTTCTGGAGGGATGGGAGTCTTGTTCGCGAGCGTAATGCTATGCTTCCTACCATTTCTTCCAAGGTTGTTACTTGTTTCTCTTTTTTGCTCTTTGAATTTAATTACTTGGTATTGAATGATTTAGCTAATGTTAAAGTTAGTTTGATCCAAAGAAATTTATAATTTATCTTTGGTCACATATGGTAATGATGGAATCATACATTAAGAACTACTGATATTATAGGATTTGGCATCTCTTGGAATTATACATGCATTTGTCTGAAGGGCAGTATATTCTACTTGCTGATATTAAATGTTTTAACTTGTTGAACATTGTCTTGCACTTCTTCAAATGCAAGAACAACTTATATGGCACTTTCTTTTTCCATAAAGAATTATAAGGAATTGGCTTACGTGATGTTGCAAAAAGAAGTCCAAGGATATTTAAAAGTTAATAAAAAAGTTTGTAATTAATTATGAATTTGTTGCAAATGTGGTAGGGTAGCTAGTCCAACTCTTTGAACACCAGCAATAGTGTTTTTTTGGGGCTGCTTTCACTATATGTTCTGTAGGTTCTCATGAGTTCGAAAATGTGATGTTCAAGTATTTAAGCACGTGTCTTTATTGTATGTCTTGATGCATGTGTAACATTCATGTAATTACCTTTTTCTGTAGCAATGTTGGTCACCTAAATGGTGGTATATCTGTTTCTGGTGAAGCACTTATCTAGAAAAAAAGCATTAGGCCTGGTTTGATGATCAAGCTTTGTTTTCACTTCAGGATTGGTTGGACATTGATTTTGGGATTGCAGAAGGTGTTGATTTTATTGCAATATCCTTTGTCAAATCTGCTGAAGTGATTAATCATCTTAAAAGCTACATTGCTGCAAGATCACGTGGTAGGTAAGTGTCATATGTTGCCTTGTACGCTCACAAGTGTGGATCAATTCTGATAGTTTTGAAAGGTTTCTCAGCTTCAACTTTTGACATACATGCATGTGCACTTTCAACAGTTGCAAATTAGAAACTGAGACTGAAACTTAATACTCTTTTACTAACATATATCCTAGTCTTCCAAATAACATGTCTGCTGAAAATGGCATCTCAATATTATGATGCAGTGACATAGCTGTCATTGCAAAGATAGAGAGTATTGACTCATTAAAGAACTTGGAAGACATTATCCAAGCATCAGATGGAGCTATGGTTGCAAGAGGAGACTTGGGTGCTCAGATACCTTTGGAACAGGTTCCCTCAGCCCAGCAAAAGATCGTCCAGCTATGCAGGCAGCTAAATAAGCCAGTGATCGTTGCATCCCAGCTACTTGAATCAATGATTGAATACCCTACACCTACTCGAGCTGAAGTTGCTGATGTTTCTGAAGCGGTGAGGCAGCGAGCTGATGCTTTAATGCTCTCTGGTGAGTCAGCTATGGGGCAGTTCCCAGACAAGGCATTGGCTGTTCTGAGAAGTGTTAGTGTGAGAATAGAGAAGTGGTGGAGGGAGGAAAAACGCCATGAGGCTATGGAATTGCCAGATGTAGGAACTTCATTTGCGGATAGTATCTCAGAAGAGATTTGTAATTCTGCGGCCAAGATGGGTAAGAATCTTTGGTTCTGATACACACACGCACACACTTATGTGTTGGCTCAAACATTCATGTTTGAATCTATATCTGGTGTTTATGTGGCTTCTCATTTCATTGAATGGCTTTTGCCAAACGTGGAAAGAATTTTGTGCATCTTGAGAACTTTTAAAACTCGGTTGCATGTTCGGTATACATGGAATTGCTCTTTGAGTATTCGAGGCAAAAGTTTCTACTTCCTGGTAAGGTGGGTGTAAGTCATGTAAAGGATCTTTGTAGATCTCTGTCATCTATGCCTTCTTTGTTTTTTCTTCACGTGATTATGTTTTGGGGCATTTGGATGATTTGGGTACCTTTCATAAGTTCATTGTTTCAATATGAGAGTATTGCTTTTATTGAGCTTATTTAAAATGTTAACAATTCTTCTTCAGATAACAAATTTAGAAGACAATCAACGTCAATTATTGGTAGATACCAGATAGCTTCATTTTTGAAAGTATCTTGGTGAATTTGTGATAGGCTGTATAGTTTGCTTATTGTCTCCTAAAATCTGGTGAATTGAATAAACTTTTATAAATGTTTAATTGCAAACAACTTGTCTCCTGGGATTATTATTGGTGATCTTCTGTTCTTGTGCCTCCCCCCCTTTTCCCTGATGGTCCTGGTGTTCATGCTGTCTTGTTATCCTCTGTTTCTTCACTTTTTTTTCCAAAAGATGTGATAATAATCTATGGTTTAGATAAGTAGATTATAAAATGTCAACCACCAACACACTGATTGGTTATCCTTTTTCAGCTTTGCCTATTTAACTCAAGAAACAGGAACTGATATTTCATCATGAGTTTTCTTTAATTATGGTCTTGATGTGAGTTTGGTTGTGATCTGCAGCTAACAATTTAGAGGTGGATGCCCTTTTTGTTTACACGAAGACAGGCCACATGGCATCTCTTCTATCACGTTGTCGACCAGATTGCCCAATCTTTGCTTTTACAACCACAACTGCTGTCCGCAGACGTTTGAACCTACAGTGGGGTCTGATACCCTTCCGTCTGAGCTTCTCGGATGATATGGAAAGCAACCTTAACAAGACCTTCTCCTTACTCAAGGCTAGGGGAATGATCAAATCAGGTGACCTTGTAATTGCTGTCTCAGACATGTTGCAGTCCATCCAAGTCATGAATGTTCCTTGAAAACTCAGTATGATTCAGATTCCGGTCATTTTTCAACCCTGCCTCTAGACTGTTTTTATCTATTAAACTTCCGGCATCCTTTACTATGAGTTCAACTTGATTACTGTTAGAAAGAAATTTATTGCCAGAGGAAAATGAAGAGCAATCACAATCAGTTCAACTACTGCCCACGCCTCTTAGCAGCAAGGACAGCGGCCAAATCTACATTATAAGGTACATCTCACAGTTTTCTACTTTAGATGCTTCATGGTGATGGGGTTGGGGCATGCCAGCACAAGTTAAAATGTATTTATTTAACTTTGATAGTTTTATGAAATGCAGTCCTAAACCTGAAAGCCTGAGCTGTAATTTTCTTCAGTCTGTTTGAGTATTATTGTGGGATTTTAAATGCAAACGGAGCTCATGTGTGTTAGTATTTTTGTCATTCAGCTAGAATTTATGCTAAATAAAACTGTTTGTTTTCAATCTATGTAATGCCTTATCAACACTTGCAGTTGCAGGTAGGCTTTTTGTAAAATT